TGGGAGGGGCAGAGGTGAACACGTTGCACACAGGCATCTCCTCGGAGCAGGACCAGCTCTTTCCTGCCCCAGGACCATTCCCAAGCCCCCTGCCCAGCCCTGCCCTGCCCTCAGCTGCTGCAGCTCCATCACTCCCAGCCCAGCAGCACCTGCCCGGCACGAGGGGTCTGTCCTGATAAACACACGGAGCTGAGGCAGGCAGGGAAGCTGGGAAATAACAGCCATGAACCATTTTAAACACTCCACAGCAGAGCAGGAGCCTCCCAGGCAGTTTTCCAGCCCAGTGGTTCCAACAAGCTCTCGGTGTGTTTACACAAAAATAACAATAATTAAACCAAACCCAACAAAACCATGGGTGCTCCCACCACATCAAAACCACAGAAATAAAACCCTCTGGAAAACACTCATGCCTTTTCTGTGCTGTTCAGAGTCTCACACGGGTCAGGCATGGAGTGAGACGTTCTAGGGTGCAGTGACACAGGTTAAGATCCCATTTCTCCAAGGAACAGGCTCCCCTGGGAATGGTCCCGAGGCTGCCGAGCTGCAGGAGCTGCCAGGGATGGCCAGGGTGGGATTGCTGGGGTGTCTGCAGGGCCAGGGGCTGGGCTGGGTGATCCCTGGGGGTCCCTTCCAGGATATTCTGTGATTCCAGCAAAACTTCATCCCTCTTGCACAGGATGGGAGCAGGAGGAATCCTGGCTCCAGAGCCTTGAGCATGGCTGGGTCCCCCCAAGGAACAGGAGCAGCATTTTTGACTGGCTGTGTCCCAGTGCAGCTCAACAGCAAAATCACAGAGAAACGGGGCAGTGGATTCATTTCCATCATTTCCCACACAAACCTGTGGGGTGGGGGGAAATCCCTCCTTAGAACATGAAATGCAGCTGGTTGATCCCAAGGTTTTAAGGTTTAAAGGCTGAGATAATAAATATGTTTTACCTCTCATTCCATATTGAGGGTTGGGAGAAGGTTCAGGCTGCATTCCCAGCTCCGAGGTGCTCGCTGGCAGGACTGCTGAGCATCCTGGACATCCCCCCAACTCCTCACACCCTGAACATCCCCCCAACTCCTCACACCCTGGACATCCCCCCAACTCCTCACAGCCTGGACATCCCCCCAACTCCTCACAGCCTGGAC